CCTGGAAACCATGCCTCTCCAAGGACAGAGGTCACCAAGCTCCAAAGCCTTTGATGCTTCAAGGGGGACTTGAAGAAGCATCCGGAAAGGAAAGGCAGTCACAGAACCGCCATGCCTGGTCCGCAGGAGCCGCGTGAGAAATGCCTGCTTGGAGAAGGAAGGAATGAACCAACCAACCAGTGGAGGGGGCAGAGAACAGACCCTGTGCTCCAGCCTCTGAAGGGCACGCAGCCCTGCTGACACTTTGATGTCAGGCTTCTGGCCTCCACATGAGAGAGAACAAATTCCTATCATTCAAAGCCCCTGGTTTGCGGTGCTTCATTACTGCGGCTGCGGGAACCTCCTAAGTCGTCATCACAGCTGCTGCTTACTGAGAGCCCGCTGCCTGCTGGTGACCTCCACCCCTGGGCTCCCAGTGAGGGACGGGCCATGGCCCCCACTCAGGGTCCAGGAAACTGAATGCCAAGGGGTCAGGGAGTTGTCCAAGGTCACCAGCTACCCAGAGACAGCTGAGGACAGCCCCAAGCCCCAGGTCTGTGCTTGTGCTTCTAGGGCAAGAGACTTCACAGCTTTGTGCCTCAGCTTTTGCATCCATAAAATGGGACCGACCCTTGGACCTCCACCTCTTGGGGTGATATGAGAATTCAATGAAATTGGCCAGCAGAGGACCACCTGTGCAGATCCAGGCAGCACGAGCAGGCAGCAGTGTTTGTCTGAGATCATTGTTGACGTAATGAGGGCCTGGCTGCTCAGCTGGGCCCCCTCTCCAAGTCCTGTGAGCCCCTTCCAGACCAGCAGCCTCTGCCTGGCTGTGCAGGGTGGGAGGTCAGGCAGCTCTAGTCCTCCCTCCTTCCTTCCTGCCTAAGCTGAGTCCTACCCCGAGCCTGGAAAGAAGCTACAAGGAATGGAAGGCTTCTCCCTCGGTCCCTGGGAAGGGAGGCAAAGGCTGACTCCAGGGTCCCATGGAGTTCGGATGGCAGCGTCACTCTGAGAGAAGAGGGTATAGGAAACACCTGGCCCAGGGAGGCAGGCAGACTGGTTGGAATAATGATCCAGTCTCTTTCTGAAGGCCCGCAGCTGCAGGTGTTGACTTTCTGAGTGGACTTAGAGGACCTGGAGGGGTTGGGGGCCCTGAGCCCTGTTCCATAAGGAAACTGCCTTTGGGGCTCCTGGGGACCAGGCCATAAGGAAATATGGAGTCTCAGGGGGTGCCAGCATGCCTCGAAGGATTTATCCTTCTTCATGACCCATAATACCGCCCCACAGGACTCAACAGGGATCCCATGGGTGTACAGGGGCTGGAGGAAATACCCCAGGGCAGCCCAGATCCTCAGCACCCAGACCGTGCCATCCATCCCAGTCCAGAGCAAGCCCATCCTGGTGGGCACCATGCAGCAGCTGTGCCCTTCTGGCAGGATGGGGAGGGGACAGCAGGTGTCCCTACCCTCTGGTAGGAGGTCTTATTACTGCTGCATGAAGCTGCAGCCAACACCCTCTATTCGTGTGCCAGTGTCCATTCAGCCAACGTCCAACTGGAGTCCAGGTAGAAAGGTCACAGAAGGGGCTCAGGTGGTCACCTAGTTGGCAGACCCAGGATACACATGCACACAGACACACAGGCACACACGAGAAACCAAAAACCCACAAAGAACTCATTTTAATTTCAGCAAACCTGAGGTCTGTATATCATGTTCAAAGATAATGACATCCGCTTATTGAGTATTTCTGTAATGCCAGACAGGGTACTATCTATTAACCCACTAATGCTCATGCGAGACCTTTGGAAGAGGTTCTGTGATCACCCCATTTCATAGATGAAGAAACTGAGGCCCAGAGAGAGGCAAGCAACATGCCCAAGATCACATGGCTGGTAAGGAAAGGCTAGAAATCAGACCCTGGGCAGCCCATTCCTAATCCCATGTCAGACCTGCTAGTTGTCTGAATTAAGATATTTTACAGTTTGGTGATATTTTCATTGTGAGTTAGTCATCAAAAGTGAGGGTCGGGGATGGGTGAGCTGGGCAAATGATCTTCTAGGGCCTGGGTCTCTGAGGCTGTGAGCCAGGAGGAGATAGCAAGAACGCATGGAATCACCAGCATTTTCCATGGATGGGTGCGCTTGAATCCATCATTGTTCCCGGAGTAAGATGAAGCTTGTCCTGCATCTCCAGGCCCTGGGGGCGAGCGTCTGTCAGGCTCTTGTGGGAAGGAAGAAGTGGTAGAAGATAGTCAGAATGCCTTCTCCTCACCCCCAAGCAGTGCAGAGCCCTGATGGATTTAAGGCCTCTTTCTTGAGTCTGTTGGGACAGATCTTTAATGTCCATCAAGCATTCTCATGCCCATCCTATAGCTGAGCAAACCAAAGCCCAGAAGGTGAAAGGTGTCCTAGGGTTGGAGCACATGGTCATTGTAAATAACCAGATGCCATTGCCACTCCCACCACAAGCCTCAGTCTCTGCATCTCTAAGCGGGGCTCACGTTACTGTGCCAGGACTCCTCTGGCACTCCTAGCCCTGCCTCCTGCCCTGTGCCTGCATGGTGAGCAGACCAGCTTGCTTCCCCATGTACGGGCTGGACTGGGGTCTAAAGGTTGAACTTTCTCATGGCCAAGGACTCAAATTTCCTAGTGGGCTCCCCCATCTGCCAGCCCACCACCCACCAGAGCAGCCGCAGGGACACGTTCTGGCCACCCGCCAGCTCCCCGGCATGCCTGTGGGTGATTCCTGGAGCCCTGCCAGAAGCTGTCACAGCCCCAGGGGCCTCAGCATTCTTGGCTTTTGTTGCCAGTGACGCGGGGTCCACTGGGAAGGGAGAGTCTAGGGTGGGAGGGGTCCAGGAAATTTCTCAGAGTCCCACTCTGATGGCAGGACCCTCAGGACAGGACCCCAGTTTCTAGGGTCCATGAGGAAGAGCTGGCACTAGGGAATGGGAGGTCGTATCAATGTGTGATTTCCAATGAGAAAGGAGGACAGTGAAGACACAGGAGGGAATGGGGGACTGGCTGTTGCCAGCACTCAGTGTTGGGCAGAAGTCAAGGACTGGGGTGCCAGGGAGCCAGGTAGACTCAGGGTAGGGGACCCAGGGGTAGCCAGGGCCAGGGGTGTCCACGGGCCTCCAACCTGCTGGCTATGACTGCTGGAGGGTCTGGCTTCCTCCTACTGTATAGATGAGGGTGGGTGGCCTTGTCCAGCTGACTCCTAGTAGAAAGAGGTGAGGCAGGGAAGGCCATAGGTGAGGGTCTAGTCCTGGGCCGCTGGCCATCTCCTGCCACCAGCAAAAGCCCTCTGAGTTAAGAGCAGGAACAACTGTGCCCTATTTATATCGCCCAACTTTGTCCACAGGCTGCAGCCACCAAACCCACCCAGGAATTCCACCGCGATCAGTTTACATTTAAAATAAATGTTTCCTTAACTTGAATCTGATCACCGGCAGTGAATTTTGGGGATCAGTGAGTCCAGGTCCAGGTGCCAAAATAAGCCCTTCCTGCTGGGCACCCAGGGCAGGGCTGGCTCAGAGCCATCCCCAGATGGGACAATTCAGCAAATAGGAGCAGAGCCACACGACAGTGTGGCCGGACCAGGACCTTGCAGCTTCCTGTGTATTGCCTGTGCCTCAGTTTCTCACTGGCTGGGCGATCCTGAGGTGGCCCTGTCCCCCACAGGGTGGTAGAATCCGGATCCCCTGGAAGGGGTGGTCAGAAAGAACCTCGGTGCATCAGCTCCCATCACCCCCAGCTGTGCCTCCCTCACACTGGCCTCCTTCCTGCTCAGAGCCTCAACCTCTTCACCCTCCAAATGGGGAGTCTCACTCAACTCTGCCCACCTTACAGGCTGCTCTGGGGACCCCAAGACAGACCACAGGAGGAGCATGTGCTAGACACTCGGGCCCTCAAAGATGGGTCAGCTGCCCCTGAAGTCACCTGTGGCCCTCATGGGTGGGAAATTCTTCCTTTAAGCCATTGAAGAGCCCTTGGATGTTGGAGTGTCTCCAGGTCATGCTCAGAGGAGAGGGTGGGGTCACCACCCCATGACTCGGGCATCTCCCCCATAAGTCTGGAGCCCAGATCTTATTAGTCCAGGAAGCCCAGCCAGGGTTTGAAGGAGCTGTCCAAGTACAATGGCCCCCAAGGAGGGTGGTTGGCTTCATTGTTACCTGGGAGCCCACCCCCGACAAAGACTTCAGGAACAGCTGGAAGGTCAGGCTCAGGTGAGGGAGATGTCATGGGCTACCGTGCCAGCTGGCGTGTGCTGGCCAGCAGAGCACCCTTACCGGCACTTTGCCACACTGGGCCGAGGCGACCACCTGGGAGCAGGTACTATGCCGCCCCACATAAAAGATGGGACAACCAAGGCGAAAGGGACTCACTCCAGACTCACGGTAGCTGGTGGCAAGGACAGACATGCATGGTTGCAGGCCTGCACCATCTCCCTCTGCCTCCTTGATCATTCTGGCCACTTCTGGCCCAGCCACCAAGCCAAGCAAGAGAGATAGGCAAGGACAAGCCAGGTGGCAGAGGAGCAAGCTGGCCAGACCTCCAACACCAGACACGAGGCTGGAGGGAGTTGTCTTGCATGCCGAATATGAGCAGACTCCTGCTCAAAGCAGCCATGGCCTAAACACACGCCAGAGACTCCGTGAGGCCCGCGAAAGGCCCAGCTCCCTGACACCCCCACACCAGTTGCCCCCGGGTCTCTCGGCACTTCCTCGGAGCTGGCGCACCATGGCATTGACACAAGCAGTCAGTATGTATGTGTTTTCTGTTTGTTTCTGCATCCCCCCGAATATAAGCTCCCTGAGGGCAGTTCACTGTACCCCATCCCCAGGACAACCTGGAACACTGCAGTAAATAAATTAATGAATGAGTGGAGGCCATGTCTGAAGGAGGATGTCTTCCCTTCACTGAGCACTCACTGTCAGAGGACATTGAGAAAAAAAAAAAAAAAAAACCAGACGAGCCCAGAGCCTGAAGCTTAGGACCATAGTGGGGAGCAGGGCCTGCTTATCTGGGGTGTCGGGACAGTTTACAGAGAACTGCCACTGCAGTGTGGAGGCACTGGGTCCAGCAACAACAGGAAGCCAGTACCCTCAGTGGGAACAGGCACCCAGCAGGGGAGCCTTAGCTTCGTGGGTGTCTGGTTGGCAGAGAAACCACACCTCACCTTCCCCATCAGTGCCACCATTGGCCAACCTCAGCAGAGCCAGTGCCTCCCAGTGGTCATGGGATACCAGCCTGATGCATGAGAGCAGGATGGAGCACGGGTCTGGGAGGCCCTGAGGGCATCCCCCAGCACTTCTGCCCTGTGGGACTTCTGCCCACCTGTGCTCCTGGGCTGGATATCTGGGCTGTTAGGCTTGTTTATGGAACCAGAGGCCACCCCACAGCAGGCCCCTTTAAAAGTGTATGTGTAACATGGGACCAAGAACCACACAGTCACTCCCCTAAGCCGCTTTGTCCAGACAAAGAAGCTGCAAGATCCTCACAACCCCCTTGGTCCCACTGGATTCCATGGGACGCCTCCAGCCCCTGTACTCCAGGGGACCAAGCTGCTTCCAGGGCTGCCTCCTACCAGCTGCCTCGCCATGCTTCAAGGGTGGACCGAGAGGCCCGACTACCCAGGGGCAGCTCCCTCCCATGCTGTGCTGCTCCTCAGGCTGGGGCCCTCTACAAAACTGAGGAGCTGGCACCATCTCTACTCACTGCGGCTGTGGGCAGAGCCCTATTGGAGCTGGTGGGAGGAGGCGGGAGGCGCCTCAGGTCGGCTAAGCCGCTGGGCATCTTTTCATTTATGGGGTGACTCTGAGCGCTTGCTGCTCCTTGGGGCTGGAATGCTAATTACCTCCCCCGCTGGGATGAAGGAATCCTGCGAGGGGGCATCCCAACCCTAGAAATCCACAATCACTCAGGGCCCTCTTTCTTCTCTCTCTGAGCCAAGAGAGCTTTTGAGGGGGTGGATAATAATAGCTGGCGTTACTGAGCGCCTACTGGGTGCCAAGGGCTCTTATCCCCGGGTCTCCCACATCCCTCTGAGGTGGGCATGTTATTACACCCTATTTACAGAATACAAAACTGAGGCTCGGGGAGCTGGGACATAGAGCTCGTGGGTGGCAGAGCCGGAGTTCAAATGCAAGCTGCCTGACTTCCAAGGTGGAGCTCTTATTGCAAACCATGGTGGTAGTGGGTGAAGACAGAGTCCACATAGATCCCCCAAGAGGGTGGAGAATGTGTGCTGTTGCTAACGGCTATCTCGGGGGCAGAAACTGCACCCAGCAAGCACTAGGTGTTAACTACGTGTCCTGCCGAGCGCTGGGGTCTGCAGGCGTCACAGAGTCCAGCTGCGCTTACATCCTCAGGGACACCTAACCCAGTGGAAGGAGGGAGAGAGGCCCCCAGAACAGGGGGTCTGGGTCGTAAAGCTGTGGGATGGAAGGGACATAGCATCTGTGAGGTGGGGTGCTTGAGGCAGTTTCATCCAGGAGCTACGGTAGATCTGGGTTCAGAAGACGGAATAGAAGTTTTCCATTTGAAAAAGGCATTTTGTGTGGAGCAGACGTGTGCAGAGTGTGACATCCGAGCGAGTGTGCCGGATACCAAGCTCACTCAGGGCTGTGTAGGTTGGCAGAGCTGGTTCTCAAGGCCTCCTGCACCTGGCACAGAAGCTGAGCGGAAGCCCACGTGGGTGGTAGCAGAGGTGGGACCCCGCCACCCTGCTTCCAGCTCCCAGTTCTTCCACTGTCCTGCAGCCCCCTCCATCTATTTCCAAACTTCCCCCTACAAAGCCTGTAGCTGGGTACCAGAATAAGCACTGGGCAGGCACCCACCGTGGGGGCAAAGAGCTCCTCTGGCCAAGACACCAGGCACTTCCTGACTCGGCTTGGATCTCGGGGTGGGGGGGTGCACGGCACTGAGGAGGCGGCATTCCAGCTGGCATTCCAACTCCTCCTCGACAATTTGTCCATTTCCTGCCCTGGCTGCAAATTTCAACCATTTCCTTCTCAGCCACCTCCAGCCTCTGCCCGCTGCCTGGCCCCACACTGACCCTGGAGGGACAGAGGATGGTCGCTGTCCCTGCCAGCTCAATGTTTGGAACCAGCACTGCTCTCTTGAGCATCCTGCCAAGAGACCCTGGGGGGTTCCAGGAAGGGTGCCAAGCTGGGGGGGTGGGGGGTGGAGATACATGAATTCTCTGCCATTCCCCAG